AAAACCATCATACACATCTTATCTTTGTCTTGCCAAGAAGATGATTAATGGTTAGTGCGCCGTTTTATTTCCGCCCCTCACCTAAGTAGCCTTGAGAATCCTGTCACATGTTGAAGGCAATGAATGTAGCTGTATAATGTAAACACGTTAAAGCCTTCCTGATATTGACCAGATGCTTAACGCGTCTCACCACAAATTTGTTAAAATTTCCAATGGGTGCCACGACTAAAAAAAGGTTGGGAAACACTGCTTTAGTGAATCAGACTACACAGATCAGACTGTATGTTGTGTGCTATCATTGAGGACAACTTAGAAATAAGAAAAGAAATAAGAAAAGCCCTTGAATAGCTGTGCAACTAATCATTTGGCAAACGCTCTTAAATGTACAAACCTTTGCTAGTAAGTAATGTACTAGTAACATAAATCTTAAATTTAGGCCTAAATATTTTTTTAGTATATGAAGTGCATACTGAGATTTACAATATGGTTGACTCGCTTGCTCACAATTTTGCTGTTGCAAGGCTATTCAGTAGCATCTGTTCTTGCTGTATTGAAATTGTCTTCAATAAATAAATAAACAAGCCCAGATGCTTCTTCTTACCTGACATTCTATGACGTGGATCACTAAAAACCATCATACACATCTTATCTTTGTCTTGCCAAGAAGATGATTAATGGTTAGTGCGCCGTTTTATTTCCGCCCCTCACCTAAGTAGCCTTGAGAATCCTGTCACATGTTGAAGGCAATGAATGTAGCTGTATAATGTAAACACGTTAAAGCCTTCCTGATATTGACCAGATGCTTAACGCGTCTCAGATCGTTCATCAGGCCGATTGAATGACGTCATCCCTTCAGGTTCCACATTGAGCTGTTACATTCCAATCAATATGCCTTAATGAAACGCATGTCATTTGTCTTCAGGGTACAGGGGTATCGATGCCAAATGGGCAACTCAGTCATAGGCCCAGATTTTATTCTGTAGAATTTGACAAATGTTCATCTACAGGTCAGCTTTCCATTCTTCGTAATATGATTTGGAGGCTCTGACTGTACAATCACAGTCAGGCAGGCACTTTGTATGCAGCTAAGCTCCCAGCATGCTTTGAGTCTGCTCACCTGGGGCATGTTGCATTCCTCAAATTTATGCTTTGATTAAATGCAAATATAAAGATAAACAGATAAACAGGACTTGGCCTGACATTCACTCAAGGTGGTACTTTGTGAAGCAGATTAGTGTTGCTAATTTCTCTTCTGGTGGAGTTTGAATTGGCGTTCGATTCAAATCAAACTCCTGCCAGGCTGCCACCATCCCTACGGGCACAGAGACTGGTGTACTATGTCTAAAGGGCATGTGCTGTCTGCTGTGCGATATCAGCTATGATGGCTGCTTTTTCATAAAATGTTCATTATAGTCTATATTTATGCTAGTATTCTCAATAGGCATAATTCAGGTCTCCGACTGTATGACAATATTGTCTGAGCGGTGTATTGGAAGCATAAATAAAGACTTATAATTAGCTGCTTCCTCATTTGGTACCTCAAGCAACAACTTTTGTTTGTGTGCTTGTCACAGTTTTATTTGCCAGTTACACTTTATTTATAGGAATTTTAGTAGCTACAGGAATTCAATTTCCCTTTTTTTATTGGAACACCTTTTTCCTCTGAGGCTTTTGAGGAGGTGTGCAGGAAACCACACTCTGTGTTTTAAAGCTGATGTGTGTGAAGCTTAATAATTCAAATGTTTATGAATAATTCATTTTGCATCTCTTTGTGCGAGCACAACTGTAGCTGTGCAAGCTTCTATATTTAACATCGGCATTACTTTTTCTCTCTCTTTCTCTCACCTTCTTTCCTTGAAAAGCTCAACACCTTTGGGTTTTCATCTTGACACTGTTTAACACGGGAGGTTTCTTTTTTATTTTTGTCACAGAAATCCCTTTTCATATATATGTTTTGAAGCCTGCACTAAGCATAAACCAGAATTGAAACCAGTGTAAAATAAACCAGTGTAATATAAAAAATATTGTCTGAAACGTTAGCTTATATTAAGTTGAAGGTTATTTTTAATTCACAATGAATTATTACCTCTTTCATGTTCCTAAAGTAGATCGAGAGAGAGAGAGAGAGAGAGAGAGAGAAGGGCGACCCACAGCGAAACCTGAAACAGAAGAAAGAAACAGAGTGGCAGGGTGAAAGAGCTCACTGCTTCTGTTTAAGACAGCACAGTGGCCTGGCATCGCTACAGAAACGGATGCGTGATCATGATGCTGATGACCAGCTGTGTGCGAGTGGATTGAGGGACAAACTGTTGTTTTTAGTCTCACACATAATCAGTTATACATTCACAAACACATGACTCTGTGTTTTGTATGAAACCATGTCAATTAATAGTCCAGCTACTTTGAATGAGTGAAATAAAATATGCACAACTTGAGGGGCTTGTTGCATTGTGAGGTTATAAATGTCCTTAGGAATCTAAATATAATACAATCAATTCAAGCACATCAAGAGTAAAAGGTAACAAATTAATAACACAAATTAATGAATGAATTAATAATTAATAACAAATTATGCAACCACTATAAGTACATTCAACCTTACTCGGATACAAACAGTGCACTCATGATAAGCGGTATGTAATATATAGCAATTCTCAACTGCTTGATTGTTATATATTAAAAAAATATAAACTATGTTATCACTCAGCGGTATATTAAAAGTTGGATATATAGTGAATACTACTTTATCTGCTTACATACTGTATACTCACACAAAGCAATATGTACTAGTATGTAGCAAATCTTGGCTACATGATTTTTTATCTAAACTGTATTATCCCCCGGCTCTTTATATAATGTTGGATATATAAGTCATATCTAACTTTATCTGCATTCATACGGTACACTCACGTAAAGCTACACTCTAAAAAATGCTGGGTTAAATACAGCCCAGTGCTGGGTAAAATAGGGACAAACCCAGCAATTGGGCTGTTTTGACCCAGCGGTTGGGTTAAATGTTTAACCCAACCTTCTGGGTAGTAACCCAACCGCTGGGTCAAAACAGCCCAATTGCTGGGTTTGTCCCTATTTTACCCAGCACTGGGCTGTATTTAACCCAGCATTTTTTAGTGTGTATATAAAGTCTACTATATAGCATATTTCAACTTGTATCATTGCAAATTGTAAACTATATTATCGCTCAGCTTTAATCTGCTAAATGTGACTAAAAAGTCATGAAGATATGAAGACATTATAAATATTAACATTGTGATACATTTTTGTGAAGCTGCTTTGAAACAATTTGTATTGTGAAAAGCACTATACAAATAAATTTGACTTGACTAATAAATAATATCTAATCTGAAATAAGTAACACTGAATCTTTGAATGTTTACTAGAAATAGTGCATTAAATAAGCTTCGTTCCAGAGGCTCAGCTCTCCAATGGTGGCTAGTTGTCCTTATTGGATTTTTCATGCAGTAGAAATGTTATACTTATCACAATCAAACTGAATCACACACAAAAAGGCCAGTCCTCTGTACTGCAGACTTCCATGATGTATTCCTCAGATCCCACTGATCTGTGGACCCCTATCGATCCGGGAACTGCCCACTGGGAGCTACAACAGAGAAGACCAGGGGCCACCTAGATAAAAGCACACACAAAACGCCTCCGTAAAACGCCGCCAATTTGGATTAATAAACAACAAACTTGACATAATAGTGTACATACCATTATGCAAATGTACACTTGGCATAGTTGCCTTTTTTTTTTGCAACTGCCGGAAATTGAACAGAGGATTTTAAAAATATGCTGTATATTGAATTCAACAGTCACACTCAAAAGGCAATTTTCAGCAATTGCTGGTTTTACAAATGTAATCGACACAATTGACTGCACTCTTATTGCAATAAAAGCACCAGCGGAGAATGAATTTGCTTTCAACGACAGAAGGCACTTTCATTCTATCAGTGTTCAAGTAATCTCACCAATGCAGATGTGAGGTGGCCTGAGCCAATGTATCGGTTTATCTTACAATAATGTTGGCAGCTCACCTGTACATTTAAATTCTATGTGATGACTGGTTGAGAATATCTAGTGAAACTCAAATATTCTAGTAACAGTATTCAGGAAATCGGAGGGTCTGTTGTGGGATTTATTCTGAATTATTTGCTCACTGTTATGTTTTTCCGAGCATGTAGGATTTTTATTCCTTATTTAACAGAATGTTGAGTACCAAAACGACAAAATACCTTATAAATAAGGAGCAAATACCATAAAATCTGTCGATGTGACTTGTGCACTGTCTCGCTCTCTCATATATGTATATATAAATATATGATAAATTAAATTAATAGGAAAAAAAATAACACGCTAAAAAGTTAAATCAGTCATTTTAAATGCTACAAGTGAATTTAAAGTGTTTTCTAAAGATTAACCTTAAGGGAGCATTAGATGATGACGAAGGTATAAATGTACATTTAAAATAAGGGGAATAAATATGAAAATTGCTGTAAATATCCAATATTGGCCAATATTCATCTAATATAGTCCAACAGTGATATATAAAAATATTTAATATTGGCAGATAACCAGTATGGTACTGGTTTTTGTGTGAGGAACAGACATAAATTTAACCCGTTATTCGCTAAAATTCTTCATCAGAGAATTTGTTTGGAAAATGTGTTTTATTTATTTATTTATTTTAAAATATGTGTTAGTGATAGTCAGGAGCCACACTCTGCATTATGTGTAATATATCATAAAGAGATGGCAGGTCCCAGAACAGAGTGATCATGTATAGCAGTTATTACCATCATCAAACTGACAGGCAGAACATAATGGCTGTCTGTTTTAATCTAGACAACGTCTTCTGATTCTTGAGACGATATCAAGAACACATTTATATTTGCCATGCACAGAAACAGCCATATTTCCACTCAATTTCAACATCTGATTTTATTTTTTTCTTACATAATGTTTTCCTTCTGTCATAACAGGCGACAATTGGAATCGACTTCCTGTCAAAAACGATGTATTTGGAGGACAGAACGGTAAGCAGTCTAGCATGTTCTAATACAGCAGTAAATCAAATGCACTCCTCTGTTTTCTATTCCATGTCAAAAGAGAAGAGTTTTAATGAAACCATATTGAATCTCCAAAGCTTTTTTATTATACCAGCTGGATTTCTGACAGTTTTAGTATATGGCTGGAAGCTCATGTATCAAGAAAATAGATCGTATCCTCTAGAGATGTCTGGAGTTTATAACCCAGAAATGATTCCATGACCTTCAGCGAAGCAGTTTGGTTTTATAAGGTCATATTGATCCAGCTCCTAGCTTGGCTCTGCATGTGTTCATGTAATTGTGTGTATATGTGTGTTTGAGAGGCTGAATAATTTGACTGTTTAGTTGGGGATCTCTGACTTGCAGGTTCGGTTGCAGTTGTGGGACACAGCAGGCCAGGAACGTTTCAGGAGCCTCATTCCGAGCTATATAAGAGACTCCACCGTAGCTGTGGTGGTGTATGACATCACAAGTGAGTGTAACACACACACACTCCAATGATCAAACCTCCTCTGAAATACATTACCGAGAGCCAAAAAATCAAGGCGGTTAACATGATTACAGCTGCCCAATCTGTCAATTTGAGATGTGATCAATGATGATTCCCCTTCTAGGGAACTCAACGCTGCGCCCCCTAGGGGGCACATTGGGGAATGCAGCCTGCATGACCGGTGTCTGAAGGACGTGTGAAACCATGCCAATCTATTGGCCCACCTGGCCCATGATGTCATAGGCGGGATGCCCGGAAGTATAAAAGGGCACCTGTTGAATACGTCATCCACTTTTTGCTGTCTTCAGGAGCCGTCTGTTTGAAGTGCATGTGAGAGACCAAAGCAGGTGAGCGGTGTGGAAAGTGTGTGCCTCTGTTCCAGAGGTTTCTGGCACTTGAGGACACGCACAATCTATCTGTCATCTGTTTTTGGTCAGGAGCTTGCTCATTGTGAGTGTTATCCAATGAAAAGCTCCATTCACGTTTGTCCCTCTTCTTGAGAGATGAGTGACAAGCGTTTGCGTCTCGCGGTTCAGGTCCCGCTGTTGCCGAGGCACGGCGAATACTCGGATGGGTTGAGATGCCCTTTTTGGGTTATCGGATCCCGCGGATAGCGCTCGAGTCGAGCAGCGCCTTAGGGAATGTGTGCCTCCGTGTTTGGATTCTAACACTGGAGGGCATGTTCTGCTTTCGCGTTTGTCTCGGCGAAAAGCACGCACGTTCAGAGTTACGCGCTCATTGTGATGAGCCACGATATCTAGGCTCCGCTCGCGTTTGTTCCTATTCCCGAGGGATACGGAACAGAGCGTTTGTGTCTCGCGGCACAGTTATCTAAACTCGAGGTCATTGCTTTGATCTGCGTCATCCTTACACCCTCTCTATACGGTTGTCAGATGACACGGATATTGTTGGGTTGTTATGACGATGAAGTGTGAGCACAGAGTCGTTTCAGCCCTGATCCTGCGAGATCGTGGGTGGAGCTATATTTAGCTCGGCCATGCCTCTCTAATATGCATGTTAATGTGTGTGGAGAGCCTCGCTGGGTGTGAATATATTTAAATATCCTGTGGAGAGAGGTTTGCAAGTTTTCTCTCCCAGGGTTTTCAGCACCTAGAGTGGTTATGGGGAATATCTTTTTGCGGTGGAATATGGCGGTCTGAGGGCAGCTATATTCTAGCCTAGAATTTAATAACTAGGTTGGGTTCGCCTTGGCACAAGTTCTCGAGTAAGTGCTGAAGTCTTTGTTTAGGAATCTGCCATTCGAGGATAGGTGTGTTCCGGCGTGGAGACCACTTCCCTTTTGGGGTTTTTAAATTGTGGTCTCTGTGAGCCCCTTGCCTGGACTGTGCTGTCTCCCCTTCGGGTTTTAAATAGATGGCCCACTTCCGTGGCCTGGGCAATCTTCAGCCTTATCTGAGAGAACTGCTATTCGAGGATAGCTGTGTCCAGCCCTCTTGGTAGTTTCAGTCGAGCCCCCCTTCTGGTAGCCCTTCCTAGTACATAGCTATCTGAGGATATCTGTGCTAGCTCAGTGACTGCTCCCCTTCCTAGTGTCTAAGTAGTGGTCTCCTTGAGTCATCGCCTAGATATCGCTATCTCCTCTGCTAGGGTTGTAAGTAGATAGCCCACTCTTTGTGGTCTGGGCAGCCTCTTAGGAGGGCTTACCTGGTTATTTAGTAGCTGTGCGGGACTC